TGCCAACTGAAGCTGAACACAACTTCAGTTTGTCCGTAGTCACCGTCTTTGTCAACATGTCTGCCGGATTTTGAGCTCCACTAATCTTTTCAAGTTTCAAAATCCCATCTTCCAGAAGAGACCGGATAAAATGATATCTCAATTGTATGTGCTTTGTCCTGGAATGAAAAGACGGATTCTTTGCTAGATGGATAGCACTTTGACTGTCGCAATACAAGATATTGTTTTCTTGTTTCTTGCCTAACTCTTCCAAGAAACTTTGGAGCCAAACCATCTCCTTGCTGGCTTCCGTAACAGCGACATATTCTGCTTCAGTTGTGGAGAGAGCAACTATCTTCTGTAGTTGAGAAACCCAACTCACTGCAGTTCCTCCTAGAGTATAGACATACCCTGTAGTGCTCCTTCTGATGTCGACATTTCCGGCTAAGTCAGCATCTACATAGTCTGTCAGTATCATATCTCCACCTTTGAAACAAAGTGCTTTGTTTGTGGTACCCCGAAGATATCTGAGGATCCATTTGACTGCTTCCCAGTGTACCTTGCCCGGATTATTCATGTACCTGCTAACAGCTCCCACTGCATGAGCAATATCTGGTCTGGTACAAACCATGGCATACATCAGACTTCCAATTGCTGAGGCATACGGCACCTTCACCATGTGTGCACGTTCTTCCTCCGTCTTTGGTGATTGGTCTTTGGAGAGTCTGAAATGAACACCTAAAGGTGTACTTACTGGTTTAGCATCTTGCATGTTGAACCTGGAGAGTACTTTGTTGATGTACTCAGCCTGTGATAACATCAAAGTCCCCGACTTTGTGTCTCTCTTGATCCTCATCCCAAGAATCTGCTTTGCAGCGCCCAGATCCTTCATAGCAAACTGCTTCGACAATTTTGCTTCAAGTGTATAATCTCTTGCATGTCTGAGCCTGCAACGAGCATGTCATCAACGTACAATAATAAAATAATGAAGCTGTTGTCGAACCTCTTGATGTAGCAACAATGATCTGCTTGGCATCTGATAAAACCACTGCTACTCATGAAGCTATCGAACTTCTTGTACCACTGTCTAGGAGCTTGTTTTAAACCATACAAGCTCTTCTTCAACCTGCATACCAGGTTTTTCTTGTCTGCCTCTATGAAGCCTTCTGGCTGCCTCATATAGATTTCTTCCTCCAAATCACCATGAAGGAAAGCTGTCTTTACATCTAACTGCTCAAGATGTAAATTCTCTGCAGCTACAATTTTCAACACCAGTCTGATTGTAGACAATTTTACGACTGGAGAGAAAATTTCATTGTAGTCAATACCTTCTTTTTGCTGAAAGCCTTTGACAACCAATCTTGCTTTGTAGCGTTTGCTCCCATCGTGCTCTTCTTTGATCCTGTAAATCCACTTGTTGTGGAGCGCTTTCTTGCCTGGTGGTAATTCAGCTAATTCCCATGTCTGATTTGACATAAGCGAGTCCATCTCATCTTTCATGGAAGACTCCCACTTGACTGAATCCTCCACTTGCATTGCTTCATCATAGCACTCTGGTTCACCATTGTCAGTCAGCAACAAGTAGTGTAAAGAAGGAGAATACCGTTGGGTTGGTTTAGGAATTCTGGATGAGCGTCTCAGTTCTGGTGTGCCTGGTTCTTCTTGAACTGCTTCAGGATTGATCTGAACATCATTTCCAGAAATCTCCTCGAACTCAGCAAATTCCTTTGTTTCAGCTTCGGTATTACTTGATTCTGCGGTTGATCTATCTTTGTACATCACATTTTCATTGAAAATGACGTCTCTGCTTCTGATGATCTTCCGATTTTCATAGTCCCAAAACCGGTAACCGAACTCATCACCGCCATAACCAACAAAGGCACATTTGTTGGACTTAGCATCAAGCTTACTTCTTTCAACAGAGTCTATGTGTACATAAGAAATACAACCAAACACTCTTAAGTGTGAAAGGTTTATTTCTTTCTTGCTCCAAACTTCCTCTGGTATTCTGCCATCCAAAGGAACTGAGGGCCCACGGTTGATCAAGTAAGCTGCAGTGTTGATTGCTTCAGCCCATAGAAATTTGGGCAAGCCGGCATGTATCCTCATACTTCTGGCACGTTCATTCAGAGTTCTGTTCATGCGCTCTGCTACACCATTATGTTGCGGTGTCTTGGGAACTGTTGTCTCCATCTTGATCCCATTGTTTGCGCAGAAATCTCTGAATCTACTGTCTCTGTACTCTCCTCCATTGTCAGACCTCAACCGCTTGACTTTCAAACCAGTCTCATTTTCCACCATGGCCTTCCATTTTCTGAAGATATCGAAGACTTCTGATTTCTTCTTCAGAAAATAAACCCACACCTTCCTTGTTGAATCATCGATGAAGGTGACATAATATAGTGAGCCTGCAAGAGATGGAACTGGGGATGGTCCCCATACATCAGTATGAACCAATTCTAACCTTTCTGCCTTGGGTGTCTTGCCAATCTTTGCAAAACTGACTTTCTTTTGTTTGCCAAAGATGCAATCCTCGCATAGTCCGACATCTACATTTTTAGATCCGGCAGCTTCCCTTTTGACAAAAGTGTCTTCATCCCTTTCTCGCTCATATGGCCAAGCCTTTGGTGCCATAGGTTTGATTTTCCATCAGCATCTGCTACTGCAATGATATTCTCTAAATTTGAGGTTACATAGAGAGTACCAGTCTTCTTACCACGAGCAATGACGAGTGCTCCTTTGGTAATCTTCCATTCACAGCCTGAAAAGGTTGTGCTATATCCTTCTCCATCAAGCTGTCCAACAGAAATCAGATTTCTTTTGAGGCCAGGAATATGTCTCACTCCTGTCAGCTTCCAGGTGGTCTGGTTTGGCAACTTTAGTCGGATGTCTCCTTTTCCGACGATCTTTAAGGTTTCATCATCAGCAAGATGAACCTTCCCAAAATCACCACTGACATAGTTCTCCATGATTTCTCGACATGGGGTGGAGTGGAAAGATGCCCCTGAATCCAAGATCCATGATTCAATCGGACTGTTGACGCTTAAAATCATGGCATCACCTGTCTCCTCCGTCATGTTGGCAGATTCCTGTGCGCCGGTATTTTTCTTCGGTGCTCGGCAATCTCTTTTGAAGTGACCCTTTTTGCCGCAATTATAACAGGTAAAATCTTTATTTCCTGTTCTTGATTTGCCCCTTCTAGATTTTGATCTGCCACGATTTGAATTTCTTTCTGAAGTTCTCCCTCTAGACTCCGTGTGTAAGGCTGAGGAGGTTGATGCTTCACCCGATTCTCTTCGTCGAATTTCTTCACTCAATACCAGATCTCGAACATCGTCGAATTTTAATTTGCTGTTTCCCGACGAACTGCTGACTGCTGTAACAGTAGCATTCCAACTGTCTGGTAGAGATGATAAGAGAATTAAAGCTCGAACTTCATCATCGAACTCAATTTCCACTGAACTCAACTGGGTTGTGATTGTGTTGAGTTCATTTAGGTGTTGTGTCACCGATGCCCCTTCCGCCATCCGCAAATTGAATAATCGTCTCATCAAATGAACTTTGTTTGAGGCCGATGGCTTCTCGTACATACTGGAGAGAGCCGCCATAAGACCCGCCGTGGTCTTTTCCTTTGCTATGTTAAAAGCAACATTGCGGGATAACGTCAGTCGGATAACTCCGAGGGCTTGTCTGTCGAGAAGAGCCCAATCTTCATCCTTCATGCCCTCTGGTTGCTTTCCTGAGAGAGGTTGATATAGATTTTTCTGGTACAAAAAATCTTCAATCTGCATCTTCCAAAAGCCAAAGTCCGCACCATCAAACTTTTCAATTTTCACCTTCCCTTCGTCTGCAGCCATCGCTCCCACTCGAATCTGGCTTCGTTTGGATCGTTTCTGACAATTCTTGCGAATCACCGTGTATTAGAACACCACCGTCGACAAACTCGTATCGCCGACCGAATTTCACTATTCACGAAATTCACTATTCACGTGAATAGTAATGAATAGTAACCTCGCAGAAAATTTGACAAAATTCACAACCAAAAGCTCTGATACCAGTTGTTAGGAAAATAAACCGAGTACAAGTAATTTCCCTATAACCAGATTAGTGAGAATGCGAAATAAAAGCGGAAAAATAATACCCGAAAATTGATAACGGAGTTCAGCCAATTGTGCTTACGTCTCCGGGCTGCTGCAGATCTTTTACTAAGAGAGAAAATTTACAGGTGTTTACAAAACACTCACTACTCACAAGAAAGCTCTCTAGTATAGGAAGAAAGAAATGTTTTGGGATGATTTTGAAGCTAAATGGGTAAGGGTATTTATAGTAGAAACTTAGGGACTAATCTTTGAAAATACCCTAAAGTGCAATGACTAAAGTGAATTTACCCATTCCTATTTTCAACAAACATCTACCAAAATTTTACCAAACTTTGAAAAACATTTTTCAAAGAAACATTTACCAAACTTTGAAAAAACATTTTCCAAAGTTGGTTGCCAAACTTTGAAACTTTTAACACTTAATTGGTTTTTTTTTCCAGAAGATAAAAAAATATTAGAAGTGCCTAAGATGAATTGAGTTGTTTTTCTCCGTCATCTAGATTGTTAAGGCGATGCATCTTTAAGAAATTAATTGGATATGAAAATACTTTTTTTAGTTCAATTAATTCTTTAACAAACATTCATCTGTTTACAAACGTTTAACCCAAATGTTTCACCTTAGTAACTTATAAGATGGTGAATAACACTTCAATTTGCAGCAACATCATTGGATGCTTCATTTTGCAAACTTATGTGTGATCAGTACTAAATGCTGTTAAAAATCATATTTATTTTTTTTGTAACTTTATAATAATTATCAATTGTCGGCCAATAAAATTATCCATTTTTTGGTTTTTGCTATGATAAAATTTTCTTGTCGATGCAAGTGAGCCAGTGCTTTTATCATTGTCTATTTCCTTTTGCTTCAAAACTATAAAGATTTGCTTCAGGAAAGCTTCATTTTCCTGTCGCCCTTGAAATCATATTATTTATTTTCTTACCGCTTGTTTTACACAAATGGATTTTTGCTGAAGAAATAATGGCGATCATCATATCAACCTTTTAAAAAAGAGGAATTTGATGATCAGATCACACAATCAGTGTGCTTTCTCAAAGAGAACTTTTGCGATGTGAAATGTGATGGTCTCTGTGTCACAGTGTGCTGCGTAGTAAAAACTCCGCGCCACCGTAAGAAATGTTTGCTTGAACTCCGAGTTGGCGGCATTGTCATCGTCATTGGCCGAGGGATTTTGCAGTACAAACTGAACAAGCTCTTTCATGTCGGAGTCTATTTTCTCGGTCATTCCATGCTCTGTTTCGTTATTGTAGCAGCCATTGTCATGAACCTGAAACCATGGTTATTTTGCTTAGTGGAGTAATTAAGTGGACATGTTATGTTATCACTATAATTGTCAAACTAATAATGTGGTTTAAGCTTTCACATTGGGAGCCTTATTGGAATCCACTTGGAGGGAAGTCTGCCAATTCATCAACACGGGGTTTTGTTACCAATGAAAGCTGTTTACACCAATTAGTAATGGAGGACAGAAATTGGATAAGGTAAAAAATGAAAAGAAATATGGTAAAAGAATGCAGCCAAAAAACAGACCTTTAGCTTTCGGTAATCGTAAAGCTGATGGCAAATTGTATTCGTGAGGCTGGAAAGTCCGTCGTATTGGGGATGAGACGATAGTTCCTCCAAAGACCACCGGCCGGAGCTAAGGTTTATGGTCTGCGCCACCAACTCCGCAACTCCTCGGTGCGTGTCACCATCCTCGACCCACATCAGCATCCACTTTTCCCACTGTTTCCACAGACAAAAACAAAACAAATTACTGAAATATAGAAAACTTCAAATTAACGCATTGGGAACCGATGATTTTTTTTAACCGAGTTACTGTTGTAATCCCATGTCTCAAAAGCGAAGGTACTTTATTTGGGGGTGCAGGATATGGGGGGAAATGATTTCTTACAGCACGGCGAATACTGCAGCTAATGTCCCGACCATGAGCCACAAGTGCGTCCAATGATAAGTGGTTCAGGGTTCGAAGCAAGGTCTCAACCATCTTCTGTACTGTTCTGTTTGAGTCCAACTTCCTGCAACAACAAAAATCACATGTAAACATCACTTTTTTCGACTCCAAAGCACTGGCCCCTACATCAATGACTTTTGTTAAAAAAGTACACTGTATTATTGTGGACCCTATTTGTAAACATATTTATAAAAGTAATTAAAAATTAAGTAAATTGCTCAATAATTAAGAACTGGTTACCTTCCGTTAATGTGGCTAAACCGTGCACCAGCCACTGTTCTGAAGGCTTGGACGAATGAATGCCTAAGCTCTTTAGGTTTCCTAGCATTGTCGAAACAAGAGGCGATGGTCTCGACCAAGAAGGCTGTCTTAGCCCACGCCAGACGCTCTTGCGACCTTTCCGGTTCGAATATGCTGGCGGCCGCCATGAAATAAGTTAAGAGAAGAGATCTTCGAGTGACGCCAAATTCAATCAAACCCATTTCGGAATACCACCTGTTCAACTCACAATTAATTAAGTGATTAAGCACTTCACCCATTAACCATAATTGAGTATGATTAGGCTTACTTTTGCATCCTTTCCCATTCCTCCCGATGTAAAGCTTGGCAATTATTGTAATCTTGCTTCGCAAGCTCAAGATACGCATTATTGTTCACATACAGCATCCTGCATGAGGCTCAGATGAAAACAAGTTAAATTCCCTTCTTTTTTGCGTGGCTCTGAGTGATTGGACAGAGCCAGCCATAAAGTTGATAATTATATATTTACTTGTATTTATTACTGTTAACCATGCCACGTTGCAAAACAAAACAAAGACGATATCTAAAACAAATGTTAGACTGGACCCTCCTTTTAGGAGTTGATCTGAGACAGCCGATATTATTACACAAATTAAATTAATGATGGCAATTATGACCATAAACCCTAGCTAGGTTTCCCCGACTTTCCAAAATGTCAACGACAAAGCTGACTTTGCATTTTTATAATTTTTAATTTCTTTTCACCATGTTGTTAAGACAATGAAATGGATGATGTCATCCACCCATTTCTGTTTTATTTAAGAATATTATTAGTTGCTTTTTTTTTTACTTTTAACTGAAAATAAAACAAAAGATAAATAGTAAAACATTAATTATTTATTTCTCGTGATTATGGTGACATATAAGTATATTATAAAATAAAGAGTAAAAGCTACCTGTAAAGAGTCTTGCCAATCCATACGTCATTTTCGCCTCCATATTGTTCAATGTAAAACCTGGTTTCAACTCTAGGCAAACATGCGTACCATGGAATCTTCAATGCCAATCCAACCTGTGACATAACGTTAATGTATCAAATAATAACTTGTATATGGATATGTAATTAAATATTATTATCAACGTGTTAGTTGTTTTAAGCATAAATGATTGATGATGATTTTATCGAAATTTTAATGGTAATTTTTTTCTTTCTCCGGTTCATTACGCAGTAGTACTATACTAGAATTAGTTTATGCATGGTTTTTCGAGTTACAAACGAAGGGTTTTTCGAATTATTAAGTGCGCTAGTAACTTAAAAGTTAAAACACATTCACATTAACCAACACTCATAAAGGTGTGCATGAACCAAAACAAAAAGAGAACGACAGAGAGAGTGCCGATTAATCATAAAGTTGTGCATAAAAAAATAGCCTATATGATTTCTACTAGTTTATTTATTTGGATTTAAAGGTCTTCTTATTATAGAATACCAAAAAGAAGTTCCAATATATATTTAGTAAATATATATGAATTAAGTGTAGCATAAGAAAATCAAAAGCTTGAATTTATTATGAAATTTTTTATCTTGAGTTGATATCCACAAAGAATAAAGCGACAATATATATTACCTCACCGGGTAAGTCTTTGGTTACGATCCATTTATCTAATAACTCATCGGCAGTTTGTTTCTGTATTAAAAATGTGGAGGCAAAGCGCTTGGCATCCTCAAGAATCTTTTCTCCAGGGAACATCACCTGTGAAGCCCTATACAGGTTGAAAATCCCAGTCACGGCTTGGTTTGACTGCCCCACAAAGCAGAAGAACACACCGCCTTTCTCAAAATGTCTGAACATATCTGTTTTGAGATATCAAGTATTAAGAAAATGACATATTAATCCATCTGCACAGAATAGAGACAGTGGCCCTAGAGCTTATTATACCTGCAGAAATCTCGTACCCATGTAACCTTAATAACCTAAACCCCATGGCCGTATCGTCAATGTCATGAACCCTAGTATTTCTTGCCCAGCAAATTCCGTCTTTAGTCCAGTATCTGAAATTTCAGCATACCATGATTAGGGGAAAGTTAATCCATCTTGGTGTGTTTTATTAGTTACATACTGGCCATTTACCTATAAACATAATCCAGGCATTCTTTGATTTCTGTCTGGAAATATCTCGAAATCCCTAGGCGTTGCAAGCGGTCGACGACCCAAATATGTTCGAACATGTCAACCGGGTACACGTTGGGGACTAAATAATTGAACTTATATGTTAGAGTCTTTTTAAGAATTACATGCATCGAAATCTGGAAAACAAACGTCACTTTACTTTACCTCCCCCGTTGAATCTTTGAACAACGTTCATTAAATAACTAAGACAATTCTCATCTTTAGTTTGCATGAGTGCGAAGGCAGTGGAGGATGGCGAGAACAAGAACGACCCATCTTTGCACTGCAACTTCAAAAGCTTTTCCCAGTCCAAGCCTGGCATCCCCTCCAGGCTATGGAGTAGTGTTGTGGGCACATTTTGCATTCTCTCCTTTGGTATCCTATCCCACACGCATAATAATTACGTTACATACATGAAAATATTATCACTTTAAGGGTCCTACATTTTCAAATAAGGCTGTTTTTTTTTTTGTAACTGGTTAATAAAGTAATCGAAACATAATAATTATGGAAGCTTGGGAATTTGAGTTGTCAAAAATGAATAAAAAACTTACTTTGTGAGCTTCAGATCTCTCTTCACGTATATGTCTTTCAAGACAGGGGAATCATATGGTACTTCGATGTGTAAGCTTCTAGCTATTTCGAGAAGTGAAGGAAAAGCCACTTCGAACCCTATCGGCATGTGCTCCTCGCTCTCATTTTCGAGTTTACTTATGTTCTCGTTGAAAAACGAGACACCGTTGTGGCATTTCTCCGGATGAATGTCCCATGTTTTCAATGCAATAACACAAGCTAATGTGTTGATCAATCGGTCATGTGCCATGAATATTTGTTTGTCACCCCATGATCCATCAGGGAGCTGATTGTTGGCGATCCATTCGAGACTCGAAGGAAACTGGGGAGCACTGCTTCCGTTGATGTCTTCGACGAGAGCAACCCATGCTGTGTCATAAGCCGAACTACTTATCTCTCCATCCTTCATAGAATCCAATATGGATTTAATGGTGTCGACGTGTTCCTTTACCTTATTCGGTTCGAAAACCTTCTTTTCCGGATAAAGAACAAATCACATCACCGTACGACTTTATATGAATTCTATTTAAAAACAAATAAATAAACAGGGCGTGTAGTTGTTGAAATCATTCACCTTAAACGCTTCATCTTCTTCTATGTCATCATCCACAATCTCCTTCCACTTTATCACCGGTAGACCATTTTGTAACACACCGGTATTTTCTGACACATAAACAATATTACTGTTAAATTAATTACTAAAACCGAATTAAAAAATTACAAGTACAAAATGTACATGGTTACCTTGAGTGCGGGGTTTGGATATAGATCTGCATATTGGCAGTATATCAAAGTTATTTCCTTTGTATTTACCCCATAACGGCCAAATGCCTGTTGGTAAATTAAAATTAATTATATATTTTTCTGGACTTGAGTGCTTGCTGATTTATGAACTTTTAATTTAAGCACATAGATAAATAATATGGACAACATATAGGTATGAGCTTAGAGCTGCTAATTAAAATAATTACAAAAAGTTTGTTATCTCAGAACAGAACAGAACAGAGAAGAACGATCCATATTGCAAAAGCAAAACTATAAAAAGAAAATGGTGTTTGAGCTTTGGATTCTTTCTTTCTCTGTGCGTTCAACCATGGATCCTAACATAAACACAGCACCAATACGAAGTGTGTGATCATATTTATACCTGCAAAGGGTAAGGACGGATGCTTGTTGGAGAAGGAGACAGCAGAAGGAGAGGGGAGGGAGAGAAGAAAGTGGAAGGAATTGGAAAACATGTTGAGGGAGAGAGGAGTAGTACACTCACAGTGGCAACATAATTTATAAAGTAAAGGAGGAATAAGCAGACAGAAACGACTTCCCAAGAGATTCCCGCAATTAAGTGCATGGGATCATCCAAATTTATAATGAATGGTGAAGATTTATGTTTAGTAGACAATGTAATTATTAATATCATACTTAAGAATGAAAAATATTTTTCCCACTTAACAATGCAGAATGCTAATGGAAGTGCTATATTTGGAAGTATTAAAATCATAAAAGACTCTAGAAGAACAAATATATTATCAATAGTGGTTGATCCATAAATATTTTTTTAGAGTGGACACACATGTATTAATCACATAAAATTTTCGTATAGGGTGAGCACAAATAAAATTTTAGGATAGACATAATCAATAAAACAAATAATTAACTGAAAAAATTGGAATTTTAGTGTCTACCCTGAACTAAGGGTGGATCCACTACTAATTATCGAATGTAACTAAATTTAACACATAAATTTCACCTTTTACTAAAGATTTCAAATTCTTCTTTTCTTCTATTTTAGTTACTAAACCCTTATCCAAAATCAATTATTCTTTTACTTCACAATATAAAATAAAATTAATTGAATTTCTGGAACTATCAAATATTAAAAATAACACCCCGAAAAAGAATTTCTCAAGTCGGATATTGGAAAAATTCTAGAATGATTTTTTATTATTGCAACTCTCCCTTTAAAAAAATTCATCCTCGACTTTTACCTTAAGTGAAAAGTTGTGAATATTGATCACGCATCTGGTCTTTGGACTCCCACATAACCTCCTTAGAATTGTGATTCCTCAACAAAACTTTCACAAGCGGAATCTTCTTGTTCCTGAGTTCTTTCACTTTGCGAGCTAATATCTGGACATGTTCTTCCTCATAAGTCAAGTATGGATGAATCTCTACATACTCAAGCTGAATAATATGAGAAGGATTTGATCGTTATCTTCGTAACATCAGAATGTGAAATACATATTGTATCATGTTTAGCTTTGGAGATAGTGCTAGGCGACAAACAACTGTATCGATCTTCTCGATCACCTTATATGGACCAATGAATAATATCTAGATAGGTTTTCCCTTTACGACTAAAGAGAAGAATCTTCTTTTACATGAAACCTTGAGAGAGGCTTTATATCTAATATATCATATCCAATGTCTCTACATTTTAAGTCTGTGTAGGACTACTGCCTATTAAAATCTGCTTTCAACCGATCATTAATTAGAATAATTTTGAAACTCACTTATCACTTTAGAAACCAGATTATGGATTTCGAAATTAACATTTTACATTGAAAATTTAATTGTCTCGTAAGTAATAGTTTCGAGTTTTGTTTTTGGCCATTCTAATGACTAATATGACGTTTCATATTTGCGTTGGACCATCATGATTGAGTTCATGTGCTACAATATTTAATGAATGTGGTTTGTAATCATATACTGAAAATATACGATGAACTCATTTTATTAATTGTTAACATGAATAAGCATGGTTTCATTGTTCAGGTCGTATTCAAAGCATCACAAATAATCAATTGGATAAAGAAATAAACTAAGGGTTAGTTTTATTGAGAAACATCAAAGAAAGCAACAAAATGGCAATTGTTGTAAAATGATAGAAACTAAACCTACAATTATATTAATTAATATGTTTCCAACTCCCCCAATGTTTGTTTCCACTATGGAATCTAATCATTTTTCGCATAACTTTGATGCTCTCTCTACTAACATATCTTCATTCAGTGTCTTACTTTATGCATTCATAAATCTTCATAAATCTATAGGTGTTTTTAACAAATATTATTAAATTGTAATCACCCAAACTATTAAAAAAATTGAAAAGTAAACCCAAATACGTGGAAACTGTACGAGCCACAATGAACCAATGGCATAAAGCTACACTAACTAAATGAACCGAAACGTCAGGATTAGGCTCATTCTCATCCATTGTTGATTGCTCACCAACTCATGGGTCACACTACAGATCACCATTTCTAGAAGTCCGCAAGAGAAAAGGGGGTGCTTTCTTTTCTTTTCTTGACAAAAAGACGATGCTTTAAGAATAAAATAATATACAGTGGAACGTTGTTTAAGGCCACCAAACATTTAAATAATAATCCTATACGCTATATTATTTGGATATAGATTTTAGACAAACCACCTGCTGTTCCTGGGGCTCAAGGGAGCTGGTATGGACCCTTGACTGTGTTTGATCAAAGGCTAAATTAAATTTGAAGAGTGAAATCTTAAGCCTCACCTCTGGTCCTCTGGAGTGGAAAAATCAGCGTATTGACATTCTGAATTCAGTAATTTTAAGCATCTAACATTCTGAAATTTAAACACCATTCTCAAACTTGGCCTTTCTCCTTGCTACACACATCTTGTACATCAACACAGGAAAAAACAAAAGGCCAGTAATCTTTGGCTACTTATACACCACAGACCTCTCATAACCAGTACAATAGTTTCACTGATCATGGATTTTGATTTTTTTCCACTTTGATTTAAGCCAATGTATCTTACCTATATCATATCAACTTTCAAAATTCTCTTCTGCAAGATATAGATGCTACGCACCACAAGTTCCACCTATCACAAAGCAAAAACTATATATATATATATATATATTCTTTCAGAAGGAAGATCCAGACTTTACAAGTTTGTACAGACAATCACTAGACCGTCAGCAACTCCTGAAAGACAAAAGCCAAATCAAAATCAACTTTGAGTAGAACATAATTGTATTAAATCCAAAAGCATTAGATCAAATTTGAAGGAAAAATAGAAATACAAAGAAAGGGAAACAATGGACTTTTTTGTGTGTGGAAAAAGCATACCTTTTCTTTTTGTTTGTAGATGCTATCTATCTTCTTCATATACTCATCTGTGAGTTTCTGCGTGAAGAATATTTCACAAACTTCAACACTGAAGGGAATGTGCAACCCACTAGATTGACTTGTTAATCGGACCAAGAAATATGCATGCATGATAGCATAAACACTAATGCAAAAACACATTTACTGCACATGGAGTTATGGACAGAAAAGAAATTCAAGAAAATAAGAAGCCACTAAAGTCTATATTTCAAGGGCTGCCCCCAAAACAGGGAGTTGTCAGAAAATCAGAATATATACTGTCAAGAGGGACTTTGGACTATAATAGTCAGGAGGTAAAAGCACCAGTATCTACAAATAAGTTATTGGAAATATACAGGAAAGTTGAATTTATTAAATGAGTGGTCACCAATTTTCATAACCTACAACACTTGGATCATGATGAAATCATAAAACCCAAGTGACAAAAGCCCCATTCGTGTCAGAACACCTCAATCATCCAAGCCATTTAGTGCTAATTGGTCTTGTAACCAACAGCCAATTGCATATATTGTTCTACCTTATAGTGACAAAAAATACTTCCTTGACTTTGTTTAGCAAGGATGATGATGACATAGAGAGAGAGAGATAGGTAAAATCCCAAGTCACCTGCAAATCACTTGACAAGTCCTTCACATTGTCTTCAGACAGCTTTTTCTCCTGGATAAAATTGAAAAACAATATCAAGAAAAGATGATTCAGAAAACACAAACAAGGGAAAAGAATGTAAAGAAACATGAAACAAAAGTGAGGAGGGAGGGCTATAAAAATACACGCCTTCTCAAGTTTTTCATAGGCTTTAAGGACATCTCTTCTTATATTTCTCACTGCCACCTATAACAAGTGATCAACAAAGATGATTTAAGTGAGTGCTTAACCAAATCCAGTCACCATTAGATAAATATTAACCCAATGAATGCATGCAATTAGAAATCCATGCCTCAATACAAGTAAACCTGAACACTTCCATGCACATGGAGGATTTTTATCCCTAAAGGCCTAAACCAAATTTAAATGTTATTGACGAAGAAAACCCAATTTAAGTTGAATATCACCAATTATTGTTGCATTTCTAGCTTCTCTCCCTCTCTCTCTCTCTCTCTCTGCTAAATGAGTGATCTCTTTTCAGGATAGTTGAGGATACATGCACCTTGAACTTATATATCCCAAAAATGTTTTTGGAGAGAAAGGGTGAGAGTGTGTATTTGTGTGTGTAATAGAAAAGATTATGCGTCGAGTGTAGTGGCTTAAGTCCAAACCAAAATTACAAAAGCTTAAAAGTACCTTCCCTTCTTCAGCTTGTTTGGCCACAACTTTTGACAATTCCTGCAATCATGTAAAATATAAAGAAAAATGATAATCAAACTTTCTAGGATCATGTTAAAGAAATATGATATCCTAAATATTGGCAAATTACCATCAACGCTGTCATTTTATATGCTATAAAAAGTATGTCTAGCAAACAATATCCAAAACAAGTTTTCCACCGTGTTAATAACCATATCTTCAAACTCTGCAAAGCATCTCCAAGAACACAGGTAATCTTGACTGTATTTGCACTTGCTATAGAGCATTGTTAGTGCATCAAAATCCACAAAATGATGAGTCTGTAGTACAGCCAAGCGATCTTGGAGATGCTCTATAATATCACATGCTTCACAAAATAAAAAAGAAATTCCCACAGCCATGAGTAAACTCATGCACCATGGTTCAAAGGCATAAAAGTTAAAAAAAAATATAAGTGAAGTAGTGCAGATAGAGAGACAGTTAAATATACACATGGCCTGAGAAAATTTATTGAAACAAAAGTAAATAATAACCTCCAGAAACTATAGTTTTAGGCTGCATAATAATACCATTTACAAAGATATAAAAGACCTTAAGTGAAAAAATATTTTAAAAGCAAATTATAATTTTATGACCATAGTACTTCTATAACAGATATTTTTTGAAACATGTGATGCAGGATGCTATTTTTGTCACCAGCATGCCAAATATCAAGAAAATGGATAGATACCTTTCTTCTTTCAGTTGTCAGTTGAGGGAGAGACAAGCGAATGACTTCACCATTATTGTTCGGAGTCATACCGAGATCAGAGTTGACTATAGCTTTCTCTATAGACTTTAAGCTAAACAATGTTAAATGTCAAAACATAGCATCAGTCGTTTAGAGGAAGCATATAGATGCTTTCATAAGGCACACTTGCAAAAAGAGGTAAGAGGAGAATAGTTTTTGTTAGAACAATATAATTCAACAACTTTATCTCTCTTAATCTCTCAGAAATGTTTGTCGAAATATGAACAAAAATGTAAGGCATAAAATAGCCGACTTTTACGTGCCATACCATTTAAAAAAAAAATCCTGAAAATCCATAATTCATAATGTATACCATATATATATAGCAGAAGATGAATGAAGAACACTACATACACCAGAGACAAACCTGAACTAATATTTATACAATCTGGCTTATTTGTACCATACCTGGACTTGTCAAAGGGTTGAATCAAGAAAGAACTTGAATCAGGAGTACTGATTTGAGTAATACTCTTTAAGCTGACCGGAGTTCCATAATATTCCACCTAAAACAGCACGCCATTAGTTTCTAACCAAACTAGTAAACTTTAGCTTCTTACATAGATGAATACAATTAGCTATATCAACTAATTAATCAAGAAACTAATCCTTCTTTGCCCAGGCTCAAATTCAATCCAGAGAATACAATCTAAGATTCAGCATTTTGAAGATATTTAAACTGTACCCTAACAATAGTTTTTGCAAACCACTTTCTAGAATAGCTTGTTCATGATCCCAATATAAACCATGTGAGCTTGTAAGAGATTTTGTACCTCGACTTTGTCAAGCATTGCCGGGTTTGCCCTCCCTGTCCTTATGGAATTGAAATTCGTTCTAACCGTCTCAATTGTCTTCTCCATTCTCGCTTTCTAATAAAAGAAAAAGAAAAAATAAAAAAAAATAGAGAAACTTAATATAAACACCCGCTTGTATAAAAACGTTGCATTGTTTTAGTTGAATTTATAGGCACTAACAGCATCTTTCTCAATGGAAGATTTTTCTGCTTCGATTTCTTCGATAGTTGCACACCTCACGAGTCTACACATTCCAAAACAATAAACATATTAAAAACCCAAAAGAGAGAACCCCACAACTATACTATCCTAGAATTTCGCTGTAGCATTTCTTCAAACACATAAGAAGCATTTTCAGCAACCAACTTGCCTCTCACGTAGCAAATGTTTAACAACGACGTGTTTGCCGGATGATTTAACGGCGACGTGACGAATACTGGCGTAGTTTGCAGTCGAGCTCCATGAGTACGCAAGAACATCGCCGGAATTATACTTGATGCGGTCGGAACCATTCAAGAGAAAACCCAAAGGAGAGCGAAAAGATTTGGGAGGATTAAGATTATGCCTGAAAAGGGACCGAACGGAGGTCGTCGAAGAAAAGGGCGCCGCCATTCGAAAGCTGAAATAGGTTTGGATTTTGTAGGCGTTTTGAAGTTGAGAGCTTGGTCTTTGGTTTGTCAAAGGGCTAAGTGAGGAGGGAAGAAAGTGGGGGTGGGAGCTGGGAATAGGATAGGATAAGAAGTTTCCGCCGCCGGGCACTTCGCGTGAATTTTTTGTTTGGTTACACGTCTACTTTTATTTTAAACAAAGTCGGCTTTACTTAACTATATGGGCCGGTCCACCGTTGTTGGTTTGAATTTACTACTTAAATCAACCTTGGACTGAGCTTATAGAATACCCATATTATTATTTAAGAGTTTAACTAATATTATTAATAGAATATTAATTTAATTGAAAATTTTAGGATATATTATTTAAATTAATAAATATTTTTATTTTTCATAATTTTATAATAATTTTAAATAAAAAAATTAATTTATCATTTAATAGATTATCTGAATGTTGACAATTGAAATAATATCGCATATGCTATGGGAGTTATTGATATATTTTATATTTATTTAATAAAAAAATCAGTTTATAGTTATTTAAATAATATTTATAAATAGGTTATCAACTAGATACAAAGGGAATTAGATAGTTTATATGCCCACGTAAATGATGAAGCGAAAATAAATATAATCTTATGGATTACGAAGTAAAAATAATTTTAAACTATTTACTCACAAGTAATCACACAAAAAATAGAAATTCTTGATTATTTGTTGTGTAGAATACCGTTCGTGTATGTAGAAGTAAACATAATTAGTTGTGTATAGTAAAAAAAAACTAATTACACGAGAAATAAACAAACTCATTTGAATTAAATATATAAAATAAACAGTAGAAGATATGTTTGTCCCAGAAATTGTTGCAGCCATTGTTAAGCTTTAAGCTCTGAAACATATAACCTGTCAGACAATTGACTGTTAAGTCTTCCCTGTGAACCCATTTACTCCATGGGAAACAGCTGTCCATCTGCTGAAAACAACAAAATCGAACGCCATGAAAATCTGCGCTGCGTCAAATGATTTCACACTTATTATTCTGTCAACTAAAGGTAAACTACATGAGTGTAAGTGCACAGTCCCAGGTCTGGAGTGAACCGAAACCTACTAATTAAAATGGAAAACCAGTTGTCACCTTCATATTTGAAATGGACCACCGAGTCATTGATTGTGTTGAACTCACCCCGTATACTCTCATAATTCATAAGGTCCCACTTTTCAAAATTTTCCCAAAAACAAGAATTTAAACACTATATTCCTGTTGGAAATCCGAGGGTTTAGAGTCAGCCAAACGCACACATGTACGTCCCGGATTCAACATGGAGAATGTTCATATCTTTTGCACCTCATTAAAAGTAGCAGCAGAACCAGAAATTGCTCTGCTTTTTTTTTTCCTTTATAAATGTCGTTGGGATTAGGATATCTTTCCATGCAAGAACTACAGGGCAAACAAAAACTCCATATTTATAGAGGCCACGCCCCGAGGTTTTCTTACATAAATTAATAACTATACTAATTTCGCCTGTCATTGAGGATGGCTGCTAGCAAGAGAACCGTGGCTTTCGTTTTGATGCTGGCTTTCGTCGGTGTCTCTCTCGGTGCAGTTCACAAAGTGGGTGATTCCACTGGATGGACGAGTCTAGGAAATATTAACTACCTCAAGTGGGCTTCCTCCAAGGCTTTTCATGTCGGCGACTCTCTTCGTAAGTATCTTTAGTATTAGTCTATCTGTTGCTACCAAAAACATTGTTTTGGTAAATAAACCCATGTTTTATTTGACTTGGCAGTTTTCGAGTACAACCCACAGTTCCACAACGTGATGCAAGTGACCCACAACGATTACCAGTCATGCAACGGAACATCAGCCATCGCCTCCTACACCTCCGGATCTGACTCCGTGACCCTCAAAAGAACCGGGCACTTTTATTTCCTTTGCGGCGTCCCGGGACACTGCCAAGCCGGCCAGAAAGTCGATGTGTTGGTTAAACCATCATCCAAAGGCCCAGCCGCAAGTCCTAGCCCGTCTACTTTGGGTTCGTCTCCTGCAAACTCACCTTCGGAAATGGTTAGTGTACCTGGCCCAGCACAGAGCAGTGCCCTGTCTGTAGTCTCCTCCAAGGTTTCGGACTTCATCGCAGCTTGTATCATTGCTTTTGCCTTCTACTTCTAGGCTTGCGGTGCTTATGAATTGGATTATTGTTTAGAGCTTGGACTATATTGGGGCAGCGTTATCATGTTTAGGTCATACGGTATGAATGTATTAGGCTTTGTTTGATTGCCAATGATATTTATGTTTAATTTTAAAATTATATTAATGTTTCATTAGATAATATATAATAGTATAATTTCAACCTTGTTATATCTCGTGATAATAATCTTCGGAAACTACCAACTCTATTGTAGTGTCCACATTTTTTTCGTTTATAAGAGCCTTTAAAGAGTATGTCTCCTTCAAACACAAGTATAAATTTATTGAAGTGTATAAATAAAATTTCTGATAAGTTAATATGACCTATTAGAGTAAAATCTAAGATCTAATGACCTGATATGACGACCAGATCTATTTAGTCTCATGACCTATGAATAGCTATAATTATCTTATGTGTGGTATCACCAACTAAAATAGGTTACTATAAATACCTTCATCTAAGTCAAATAGGAATAAAACTTTCAATAATCTAGATACAATTTTCTTGCTTTTGAATTGTCCGTCCAGCTCAGTTGGTTAGAGCACAAGGCTATTAATCTTGTGGTCGTGGGATTGAGTCCCACAGTGGACAGTTCATAATTCTGACTGCCGGAGGTTTCTCACGGAAGCTGCTCTCAACCTGGCGTTGGGGACAGCCTACTATCCTACCTCCCCCTTACCCCATTACATATGAGAATAGGGTCAGCTAATTTTTTTTTTAATTTTCTCGCTTTTATGATCAATTATCTCCCACATAAAATCACCGGTTAATGATTATTTTCTCAACCACTATGAATTTTCTTCAAGTTAGTTTTCTTAGCATTGGTTATTTCACTTTGTAGTTTCATTTTACACAATCAAAATGTATTATGAAAATAACTTTAAATTCGAATTTATATTGAATGCACAATGATATATAATTGTATAAGCCCGAGAGATAGTCGAAACCCATCCTTTGATCCTTTGCCTGCAAATCAACAGACGGAGATGCTAATGGGTAGCCCAGTTAATAGGAGTCATCTGTGTTTCATCATTAGGGGCTTCCCCAACCATTGCATTGCAGCTGGTAATTTGATCCTAGTGATGTTTTGTCGTTCCGATCTTTAAGCATCTATTATGTTTTTATTGATTGAACTTTCATAGGATAACTTCAAATTTACCGACAAAGACAATAATAATTAAAATTTTGAAAAGAGAAATACTTTTCCCCCCAAAGAAATTATATTGGTTACGAATGAAGAATTTATTTGTCCAACTATTGCGCCATGCATTATGGTCGAAGTTAATGCTTTTTATGATTTGTGTTAATGTGAATTAACAAAAGAATGCAACTTTTATCTGCTAAGCATGTAAAAAGAATCAATGGGATTATTGCAACATGGGACCAATGTTGGGAGCAAATCATTTTCCAACAGTTTTTCCTGACAAATTAGGGGGAGGGGGCAAAGTTACCAACAAAATAATTTTCAATTCTGTTGTACTCTTCCATAGCTATAAATTCTATTTATGATTTTAGAGGAGCATTTGAGTGGACAATTTTTTTTGGCTAATAAAGACATCATCAAATCTGGAGTAATAATTCTAATAGTAGTCTGTCCACAATTATACTTTAAGGTTTAATAGAGCCATACATACAGGGATGAACAGGAGTTGGATAGGGCAGTTGTCCTCCTAAATAATTCTGCTGATATATCATGTACTATTTATTTATCAGAAGTATACCTATGTCCATTAAGAAGAAAAAAATATAACTACTCGTACAAGTACTGTAAAGTTGTCAACTACTATGGATGGGATGCTTCCACTATGCTTTTACATTGCTTCAGTTCGAATATTAGAAGGAAAAAAATAGAGAAGCTTAAATAATAAATAAAATATATGAATAAGTAAAATAAGAACAGTATAAATTATATGGACGGTCTCTTATATTTTCGATAAGTCCTATTTTGATCACTGATTTAAAAATTAAGTGATTTTGTTCCCTTACATTATTAATCCGTTTAATTTTAGTTATTTAGCTGTTAACTCCGATTAATCTCTTAGCAAAATCGGTTAACTCCGATTTTGATCTCCTCATGTCTTGTTCTTTAAAAAAAAACCTCCTCCTCCTCAATCAATGGACATTGACAAATCAAAATCGTCCTTATTCCTGATCACTGGACGTTGAGAAAGCGACGAGGAAAGCTGATAAAATCATTTTTTGGAAATATTTCAAAAAGAATGGGATCTTGTATGTAGAGCTGAACCCAAACCATTATAACTAGAAAACAAGAATGAGCTGAGTTAGCAAACAATTTGAAGTTGAAGCTGTGCTAACCACTTAAAACCAGTGTAACAGTAGATTCATCTCTCCAACAAATTTAACCACTTATTACAAAATTTGAAAGAGCCCTAGGGGCATGGTTTCCAAATTCGCCAAACGGCCATGTTTGCAGACAGGCGTGTCATTCGAGTTTTACCTTATCCATTCGCGTTATTTCATACCTTCATCTATTTTGACTGAACCTATCAAAACGTTGCAGTTATAACGATGAAAAACAAAGACCAGAGTTTGTTGGTGGGTGGTCATTGCAAGATTACGAAAGAAAAGTGGTATTTTAGTTATCTTTCACACAATCAACTTCCCATTGTTGATCACTGTCCGTGTGACAACTTGTACTTCAGTGTGATGGCTGTCAGAAACCTGTCATCAATCTCGGGTCACCCGACCAGGATCCATGTTTACACTTTTTTGCCATGTTCACAATGTCTACCATTCAATCTTGATGTTTTCAGTTCTCAATTCAGTGATTTCAAACAAGTGGGAGTACATGAAATCCACAAGGAAGCTTTGGTTCAATATCAGTATATGAATCGACGTCAAAATTCATTTCAAGATTATCCCGTATTCGATGAGACAACCGTTTCTAGTTATCTCTACAATATAGCCATGCCATTGATCGTAAAAGTACCTGAAGGACGACCGGCCTATTCATTACTATCAGCTGCAGGAGCTAGCGGCTGAAGAGCTTTAAGAGGATTCGTGATGATTCCGTCAATAAGCCCATATTCCTTTCGCTTCTTTGCGCTCATGAAAAAATCACGATCAGTATCTTGGTTAATCCGCTCAAACTTTGACCAGTGTGGTAAGCGAGATACCCATTTAAGTTCGCCTTATGATGCGACATTTCATTTACCTGAGAATCGTGTCACGTGGCTAGACTTCTGCTAGTCGATTCGTGCGACACTTAGACGATTTCCAGGTCAAAATGGCGCCTAAGTCAGCCTTATCCACGTCCTTGTGAGTCTCTGGCTCACTAAGCGACGAACAAACCCTCAAGGGTTAAGCAACAATGCGGAAACAACACTTAATCGGGGCTAATCCAAGCCACTTGGGTTGAAGCGGATATCCTAAGCACGAGCATTGTGGGAACTTCCTAAGTCACCAAGACTTGATTAATTTTGGCACTTTGAAAGAACTCGGAAAAGAACACTCTCGAGGCTATCTCAGCCCTCACGATCGGCAACACAAGCCACAAAGGCTTAAACACAAAGGAGAACAAGCCGACAAGGCTAGAAAGCTATAAAGAATGAACTCAGAGAGAGTAAGAGTAAATGCATGAGTTTTATTACTCTGAAGAGAATGAATGAAGTGAATGATTACAAATGAGGGGAGGAGTTCTCTATTTGAATGAATCATACCTTAACAAGAACTCTATCTCTAAGGTATTTGAATTCAAATAAAACATTATCCATAATTAAATCCTTAATTATTGGATAATAATATTCTTTCTAGAATCTTCCAAGGAACAGGCCAAGTCTGATGGTTATGGGCAAGCCCAACACTCTGTATTATTCTTCTACAGAAATCTGTGCACACATGTCTCGGTCCGAATCCACGAGCCTCGACAAAATTGCCCCCATCGAACATGTAACACCCTCGTCGCTTCTCTCGGACGCCTCGGACTTGATCCTTCACGAACCCGAGCCTTTACGGACTCGTAAGCATTCTCCAAGAACCAGGCTAACTCGCCATGCCCAACAAGCCCAAAGTATGCGCAATAGAACCCCTTCTGTGAACCTTTGCGCCAATGTCCATGGACCCAAAAGTTTAGTCCGTGACAATCTCCCCCACTTGATCTAGCGACGCCCTCGTCGCTAGGTGAGAACACTTGGTCTTGATCACCTTGGACGCTTTATCAAAACACCTTGGCTTCCTTGCCTTGGTTAACACCGTCATGTCTTATCACCATCTAGTACACCGTGGCATTCATCTCGAATGTAGGAAATCCATCCTACCCGTTTGCATTCACCCCAAACAAGGATACTTTTGATCTAGCGGCAAAGAATTGGATACTCCGACAACATACAACACGACAACTCAGATTCGTCGGCAACACTCGCTTATCCCTAAGAACTCTGAAAATCTCAGATGTCCCTTCCAACCTTTGATAACTCCATAAAAAGATGGTTAGGTCTTCGAGCTATGCTCATCAACGATGGTGAATCAAACTCAACACTTCGAATGTGTTTGAGATGTCCCTCGATTTCCCTCAGCACATTTACTTTATGTGTCAGCCCTTCTTACTCCACGAAGTCTGGCACTCCACACACCAACACTTCTATCCGGAAGTCTGGTGTTTCTACTCGCATCGACACTTTCTCCCTTGAAGTCCGGTGCAACTTTCACCCTCTTACATGGGTGGCAAGCTCTCGCTCATCATGTCTCTGGAAAGCCTGGACTCCATCAACCTCTTCTCGGTTGTCTCTTCAATGGTAGTCCCCAAAAAAATGTTCCTCTCACTTGGAACCTCTTGGAATAGACAGTCTTTGCTCGCCCCCTTCGATGGTTCGACTTTCAAACCAAGATTGTCGGCATCCTTCTTTGACATGAATAAATCAGTTGCCCCGTATCTATTAAGGCAACTCCCGATGGTTTGGCAACGTTGATGTTCACACACATCAACCCATTCTGCTTTCGACCTCTACTTGCATTGGAAGAACTCAAGTTCATTGAGCCAAGTCTCGTAGCCTCACTGACCTTGTCTTCACCCATGTCCTTGGGTAACTCGATCCTGGGCTTCTCCATTTTCTCGGACCACTCGGCTTTATCCAGGCAAGCTTGCAACTCTTGTGGCCCCTTACTTCGGCGACCATTCATATGCTCCTTTCTTGTCCTCGGCGTAAGGCACTTGTTCGCTTTACTTGTGCCAACATTGTACATATCTTTTATAGACATGTGTTCACCACTTGAACGATCAGTGCTCAAATGCTCACCATTCGAACAAACTTCACTCGAACAAGCATCACTCGAAGAGCCTTGCTCCTCATCATTGTTGGACTGACCCTCATCTCGGATACTTTTGTCATTACCCTCGGCTTTCAACTTTGGCTTGGACGTCTTCTTTACTCCAAGTTCTATGATGGACTCGGCGGCTATCAAGGCTTTAGACAACTCCTTGATTCTCCTTCTATTCATCGCCACCTTTGCCCATGGCTTCAATCCATCTGTAAAGGTGAAGAATACATCTTCTCCAGTCAACTCTGGGACTTGGAGCATGAGTTCCTCGAACTCTCTCACATACTCCTTCAATGTCCCCTCATGTCTAAGATTCATCAACTTAGACCATGCTTCACTCTCGGCATGCACTGAGCTCGATTGCTCTTGAAATGTCTTGGACTCTTTTGGTTCTTTGCCAACTCCAGCTTCCACAACAACGGCTACCTCCTCGGCATCCTTGGCAAGCTCCTTGGCAACATTGGGTTTGGGCAACTCGTTCTGCTTCTGGTTCTAACTAACCTTGACAGAAGTAAACACCATTGAACTAAGCTTGGCAGGCTCGCTACCCTCGGTCTTGTCCTTTCCCTTGGACTACTTGATTCGATTTGGGCATTCTCGCACTATGTGTGGACCTTTGCACCGGAAACACTCCAGTTGCTTTTGTTTCTTTAGCCTCGGCTTTCTTGCTTGGCCCTTGGCTCTCGCACCTAGCTTTACTCCATTGGTGCAATCTCGCACCTTGTGTTTTCCTCCACACTGGAAACACATCAATGGCTCTCGCTTCTTTGCCCTCGACTTCCCAGCTTCGCCACTTGCATTGGCACCGAGCTTTTCTGCATTTGGGCAACTCCTGGCCCTATGTGCTCCTTGACATAGGAAACACTTCAGTGGATCTCGCTTGTTTACCCTCAGCTTTCCTGCACCACTAGCATTCGCACCGAGCCTTGCTCCTGGCTTGACTGCTTTGACTCCCGCAATCGCACCATCTTTGGCTACTTCCCCTTCTGACTTGTCTTCTTTTCTGACAATGGCAGCAAGACGATTCTTCTCGGGACATCCTCTTATCATGTGAGGACCATCACAGAAGTAGCATTTAAGAGGCTTGCTACTCACCTTCTTCTTTGACACAGACTTGGTCTTGCCATGATTCCCCGATGGCTTTATCCGACCACGATCAGTCGATGCCACTTCTTGGCTACTCGAAGAGTTTTCTCTGCCATCTATCCATTGTCCCTTGTCATAGTCTCCCCATTTTCACCACTATCTTCGGGCATGGGTCTGGATGACTCATCTTTGGTTGGCTTGGCTCCTGCAAGCTCGCACATTGACTCGGCTACAGCTCCAGCTTCCGAACAACTCTGGGTATCACCTTGCTCACTGACAAGCATCACTCCTGGTCTAAGTCCTTCGATGAAGGTATTGTACGCACCACCATCACTCATTACTGTTTTGCACATGAGTATCTCACTCTTGAACCATCCATTTCTTCCCTCAAGGCCATCAACTCGACCCTGAGCGCATTACTCATCTCTATCAACGTCCAACAATGGATACTCTATTTGCGCCACATCCTTGAACCCATCCCTCATGGATTCTAACTGTTTAAGACGGACTCCACAACTCCTTGGACCTCATTGGCTTCTTCTGCGAAGCTCTCAAGGTTCTTGATCCTCACCTCCAACGATCTTGGGGTAACTCCCACACTTTATTTCTCTAGCTCAATCCCAACACCATGGCTCTCCGCGCCATTCTCTGTGGGAACAACTCCTTTTTGTTGTACCATCTCGTTTCCTTTCCACAACTTGTCTGGAACACTCGTTGAATCCACAACGGCTTCCATCAACTCGCTAAAATGCTTCTTGTCACAAGACAAGCTCGGATCACTGTTGAATCCACAACACCTACACTCTGACTTGCTTTGACTCGCTTCCACCAACCACGTACAAAACAATCGTTGTTTGCCTCCAATAATTCGCTTCGTCACTTCTTGTAGCGGGGCTACGTTCTCCGGCTACGCAACACGCTCTGATACCACCTGTCACGGGGCTAGACTTCTGCTAGTCGATTCGTGCTGCACTTAGATGATTTCCAGGTCGAAATGGCACCTAAGTCAGCCTTATCCACGTCCTTGTGAGTCTCTGGCTCACTAAGCGATGAATAAACCCTCAAGGGTTAAGCAACAATACGGAAACAACACTTAATTGGGGCTAATCCAAGCCACTTGGTTGAAGCAGATATCCGAAGCACGTGGGAACTTCCTAAGTCACCAAGACTTGATTAATTTTGGCACTTTGAAAGAACTCAAAAAAGAACACTCTCGAGGCTATCTCAACCCTCACGATCGGTAACACAAGCCACAAAGGCTTAAACACAAAGGAGAACAAACCGACAAGGCTAGAAAGCTAGCAAGCAAGAAAGCTAGAAAGAATGAACTCATAGAGAGTAAGAGTAAATGCCTGAGTTTTATTACTCTGAATAGAATGAATGAAGTGAATGATTACAAATGAGGGGAGGAGCTCTCTATTTATAGTTGAGGCCCTCAAGATCCAACGGTCTAGATCAAAGTACATCGACGGCTTAGAATGAATCCTACCTTAACAAGAACTCTATCTCTAAGGTATTTGAATTCAAATAAAACATATCCATAATTAAATCCTTAATTTTTGGATAATAATATCCTTTCTAGAATCTTCCAAGGAACGGGCCAGGTCTGATGGTTCTGGGCAAGCCCGACACTCTGTATTATTCTTCTACAGAAATTTGCGCACACATGTCTAGGTCCGAATCCACGAACCTCGACAAAATTACCCCCATCGAACATGTAACACCCTCGTCGCTTCTCTCGGACGCCTCGGACTTGATCCTTCACGAACCCGAGCCTTTACGGACTCGTAAGCATTCTCCAAGAACCAGGCTAACTCGCCATGCCCAACAAGCCCAAAGTCTGCACAATAGAACCCCTTCTGTGAACCTTTACGCCAATGTCCATGGACCCAAAAGTTTAGTCCATGACAATCGCGTTTAATAGTCAGGGATACAGAGGATAAGGAATCCACAAGTACATAATTTAAACAGCACGAGGTTTTCCGAGAAAAAGGGCATACATGGATATCCATATCAGTTTGAGCTCCACCAAGAGGCCGATGTATCATTATCCTTGAATATCATTTTCCTGAATTTTAGAAGAAAACAGAGGGGATACACAACAGTCACAACTTAAGTAGACTGGAGTGATAACGCAACCAATCGACAGAGTTACTAATGGCACAACACTACTATAAACCTTTCGTTCCCGCACTAAGCAGAAAAGCTCCCATGTTGTTCACGGAAAAGCAAAATATATTCATTAACAATAACAGAAATTTGTATTCGCATTCAAATGTATATTACACATATACATTAACCTCAAGTATACAACCCATCTGGACAGGTAAAATATATATCAAGAAATAGTATCATCAAAGATATATCTGTCATAAATTCACAATTTAACTTTTGTTAAAAAATTTATTGATAACTCAGACTTATCCAATTTTTTATAATATTTTTTATTAATAACTCAGATTTCTCAATTTTTTATATTTTTTAATTGACAACTCAGAATTCCGTTAATCTGTTGACGGGAGCTAACAGTCAAATGACTAAAATTGAATGGACCAATAACGTAAGGGATCAAAAATACTTAATTTTTAAATTGATGACTAAAATCGGATGAACTAAAGACATAAAGGATATCCGCATAGTTTACCCATAGAAAATGGAAACCGAAAGCCGAGCCGGGTAAGAAGCCGCAGTTGGCGCTGCTCATATTTCCGATAAGAACACGTGCAAGAACAATACAAACATTGTACACGTGAGACCCTCACTGCCAAAGATAGAGTAACTCTGGGTAAAACATCATCACTAAGGGAGTAAAAGAAATCAGCAGAACAATAAAATCACTCAACTGAACCAACACTATGCGTATATAAGATGACCACCAACCACTACATCAAAGCCTTAACCATCCTCTTTCTACTCATCTCCTCACTCGCGCAACACAGTCATTCAGTCCCGGGTTTAACGCACCCACATAGAAAACCGAAAACCTTACTCTGTCAACTTTCTTTCCTCAGGCCAGAGAGATATTAATTCGAAACAGCTTTGCAAACATTTTCTTTGTGACAAGGGGAAGTGTCTAACATGGAACTGAGTAAATAACTTTGGAGATCTTCACCAAACTTGAGCAGAAATGGCTATCACACTGTGAAACCACCAAGAAGGTTCGGATCCTCAGCATTGACGGTGGTGGAACCACCAGCATTGTCTCCGGTGCCTCTCTTATACACCTTGAAGATCAGATCCGCCTCAAAACCAGTGATCCTCATGCTAAAATTGCCGATTTCTTTGACATGATAGCCGGCACTGGCGTCGGTGCTATTCTTGCCGCCATGATCTCAGCCGACGATGGAACTGGCCACCCGCTTTTCACTGCCACAGAAGCTGTCAAGTTTATCACTCAGAATAACTCCAAGCTCTTCAAAGTTAATAAGCTCGCCGGAGCTCTTCACCGTCAGAAGAGATTCTCCAGTAAAAGCATGGATAAGGTACTCAAGGAAATGTTCAAGAGAGAAGACGGAACGGTTTTGACACTGAAGGACACGTGTAAGCCTCTCCTGGTTCCTTGCTATGACCTCAAGAGTTCCGCTCCTTTTGTTTTCTCTCGTGCTGACGCTTCCGAATCACCAAGCTTCAACTTCGATCTTTGGAAAGTATGTCGCGCCACGTCCGCCACTCCAAGCCTCTTCAAACCTTTTCCACTGATATCTGTCGATGGCAAGACCTCGTGCACCGCCGTGGACGGCGGTTTGGTCATGAACAACCCTACCGCAGCTGCAATAACGCACGTGCTCCATAACAAGAGAGATTTCCCGTCGGTCAACGGCGTGGAGAATCTGCTGGTTTTGTCGTTAGGCAACGGTCCAACGGGCGGATGGTCAAAGGTTCGTAATAATGGCGACTGCTCAACTTCTTCAGTCGTTGACATTGTGCTCGACGGAGTCTCGGAGACCGTGGACCAGATGTTGGGGAACGCTTTCTCTTGGAACCGTGCAGACTACGTTAGAATTCAGGTACTCAAACCATCATTTTTTAATCAATAGTTAAATAAGTTTGACTGCATTAAAGTATGTTTTTATTAACATTTTCATTCGCCAAAACATAATTAAACGAATTATCCCAAAAAAAACATAATTAAACGTGTTCTGATTTTTAAAGAAATTTATTTTGAATTTCACAATTCCACGATCGGTTTGTAACGTGCAGGCAAACGGACTGGGGAGTGAAAGGATGGAGGAGGTACTGAATGAAAGAGCAGTGGAGTCGTTACCATTTGGCGGGAAGCGGTTACTGACGGAAACTAACGGGCAGAGAATTGAGGGCTTTGTGCAGCGCCTTGTTGCCTCCGGAAAAACAAGTCTTCCTCCAAGTCCCTGCAAGGAGTCAGCCGTTAGTCCGCTTGCCAACAGCCGTTAAACAACTTTCATTTTTATTTTTAAATCTCACTCTTTTAATCCGTTGTAAGTTGTAACCAATTGAACCCATTAAAGGATTCAAGTAGTTAAAAGGATTGTTGATCTCACTAAAAGTTCTAAGTTCGAATAACTACGGTATATATATAATGATTTCAAATAAATATTATCTTCTAATCAATAAATTATCAAAAAAAATTGTAACCAACCGACCGAGTCGTCAAGTTTTACCAGTATGGTTAAGACTTGTTGACCTTCAATGTTAAACATTGATATATCAACCAACGAAGAAATTTGTTAGCATTGATGCAAGTACTAGAGATGAACAGATCTCAACCACCATGACAACTAGTATGATAAGTTGATACAAACAAACAAGGCCACGGAATCCAAGTAGGTGACGGGGGTGGGGGCACAGTACTAGTGGTGCATTAAATAGAATTTCCCTTTTAACCAAGCCCCTTCCCATCCGTTTTGTAAACGTTGTATCTGTGGGTGCAAACACAAGAATAGACATGGAAAGGGAATCAAATCCTCTTCATCCTTCGGTGGATTGATTACAACTTGAGGTTGGATCCTACATAATCTCTATCTTTTCCCTTGTCAAAGAAGAAAGAAAAAAACCCTGACCCAAAACGGAGCTTGTTTCCATGTTGTTAGGGCTAAAAGCCTCTCCTTTTAATTACCATGAACTTTATTTTAAAAATTCAGTCATTTTAATTAATCTCACTGGTCAAATATACCTTGAACAAAGCCGTCTGTCACGGCCCCGCCCCTAGCCCCTACGGCTTTGATGCTTGGTTCTCGTGGGCGCGGGAAGCTATGAGGGGACCTCTAATTTATACACGCTAATAAATTAACAAGCATCTCAACCATGACTAGGTACTAGGTAAGCTAGTTCAACTTTCTTGAGACCTTTCAAAAAAAAAAAAACTTCTTCTCAATTTCCCTTCGATCCAAACCTTTATACTAAGCCTTTTCTAGTTAATTGTGATTAAAATCAATTAAGTAATGTAATTAAAGAATGACTTCTAGAGCTCTAGTCAATATGAATTAAGTGGTCCATCCAAAAGAAAGGGATTCAATACCTTAAACTTAACCCATATTTAAAATATTGGTCTAAATAATTAAAATGTAATTCTCAATTTTATAAATTATTTACTGAGAGAAAAAGCCATGTCAGTATGTATAAGTGTAATTTTAACTTTAAACTTGCTCGGAATTAACAATATGATTGAGAAAAGCTTCAAGTAGCTATGGTTAGTAGACTTTTTCATCCACCTTCACTTAAATTATTTCAAGAGAAATTTGTTTCCTTCTTTTGGTAAAGCAGATTCCATCACCCTTTTGTTTCTCCATAAATATAATATGAGCTTAAGAAACTATTTTCTACGAGGGCCCCGATTTGATTAAGTTCTCCAACATCATGAAATAAATCAAAAGGATAAGGATTTAACTGTCGAATACAATATGAACACGCATTCATCGTGTAGTTGTGATCGGCCGTGGATGGTAGCAGCCGAAGCAGGACCAGCAGCCATTCTGCCAGCCATCTTAAATTGATCAGCCTCGTCATGAGTAGGTAGACCAAAGGGAAATTGTGTATATACTTGGTACAAAGTGCACGTACGTACGGGTGCACTGCCCTTATAAATGAAATCTGCTAGCGGTAGGTATAAATAAGTTAAGATATGGTATCGTGTGGGGTTGTCTGGCTGACTCACTGATCATCTAGCCTAGCTATACAGCCAAACCCTTTAACTCTCTCCCTGTGTGGTTGTTTTCATCCTTCGAGAGAGATATTTTAAGTCGTCCTCCGGACGGACCATGCCCATACAAGAACGTACGGTTAAAATACAAGTACGTACTTACTAGGAGAGCGAGCGATGCAGTATATATATAAAAGTAGTTTGAAGTGATCTACTTGTTACGTGTGAATTATGATAAAAATATGAACTTAAAAACTATGTTTATGTACTTGTAATAGATCATGATAAGATCTTGTCTCCTAGGGCTAATTTTCTCCTTTTTCAAGTCTTCACTAATTTGTCCCCTTTCTTCTTAAAATAACGAAAAAATGAAACTAAAGTATTAAGTACGTGTATGTTTCTTTTGACCGTCGGATCCATTCGAACCCTAAACCCTACTTCGGCTAGTAATAGGACTTTTGAAGGAAAATCAAAACCTAAAAAGTGGTGAAAGTGACATGTCACCTGATGCACATGTGGGTCCACAATCGGTAATTCTGCTGTCCGGCGGGAAATTAAACTTAATTTACGACCCATTTTAATTTAAAATATTATTTTATTTATTCAAAAAATTATACAATCGATAATAATTTCAGTTAGAATTAAAAATATTACATTATAATAAGTTTTAACCTAAAATATTAATATGTATGCTCTAAAAAGTACACAATTAATAATAATTTTGATTATAATAAAAAATATTACATGAATTTCTTAAATGTAACTTATTAGGTTACAACTAGAATAATTATGTAATTTACATCATTTAATTTAAGAAACATAATATTCCAATTGTAACTTTTTTTAACTTTATATTAATAAGTTGTATTTTAGAGTACACGGCGGTAATATATTGTTGGGGTTTCATTCTATTTTTCGCTTGAGGTTTGACTATATCATTCCCCCTTTTACTGTTTCATTCAATCATTTTTAATTTCCATCGTAAGCTGCAAAAATTGCATGTGAAAACCACATGGATGAAACTGATATCTTCCTTGAATAACATGCATTGGATCCTTGGTGACGGAAGCACTTGGCAGCCATGCAGGGACGGCGGGATCGTTTTTCTATAGACCTCGTACGTGCGCCATCTTTACACACTACTGTCGTGTCGATCTTCTAATGGCATCATCATTCAGACACCATAAAACATTAAAAACTCAATATATGGATTAGTGATTGGCAGCATCTTTAGGCTTTTGGGTCTTAATCCAACTGGCATAAAGTCAAACTGTAGCCTATGGGAGAATATCTAGATTCAAAAGAAAATCTTGGTCTTAATTAACCAACAAGTAGCCCAAGATTCCCCCAAAATTAAGCTGATCTGGTTGGAACTTAACGACACAAACAATTCAAATAATATTTGTTTATACTATGACAGTACTTAATAACAAAGCACTAATATTAATCACAAGGGTTATCTTTTTCTTTTTTATGGTGGGGTACTTGGAAAAACAACACTGGCTTAAGCAATCAGCAATGGGGCAGGTGACACTGGATGGTACGGTTCACGTGGTTGTGGAGAAAGTGGTGCCATGGAATGGAGGGTCCGACGCTGTAGGGTTAGTTTTTGATTTATTTAGATATAAGATGACAATGATAAAGTAGAAAGAAACGACAAGATTCTTGAGCAGTTAAAAAGGGCAGCAAATGGTCAGGTTTGAGAATCTTGAAAAGGGGTCAATGTGTTTAAGAAACAAACAGGGAAGGTTCTTATCTATCCCTGCTTTTCTAGTACCTGGCGCCGACAACTATTTCCTTCTGCACGTTGAATTACAGGCATAATTGTTGGCTGACCTGTGGAATATATATCAACTCTGCCTTGTTACAAGTGTTTGGGTGTCCTTTTTACAGTCTTGAGATTAGTCTTGTATGAATAAACAAGGACGATCTCTATCTCTCAATCCATAATTCATAATTACTTTCTAAAACCAACAATTTACCTAATCCTCAATCTGTTGTTATACTTGAATTCCTTTGCATGATCTCTATCTCAGCCTTTTTTATTTATACGTGTAAATTGTATTGCATATTTCCTTGAGAATCTTTTTATGTTTACAACGATTTATGAGTGGAGTTGCAGCTTTCAACTTCTGGGTGAAAGCAGCTGCTGCTATTAGATTTTAGTTTTGTGCTTGCCAGGGATGAAAACTCTTCAAAAACGGCCGCTACAAGGTCGATGTGGATTGGATGATCCATAAAAGGATCCTACAAGTCCAGTAAGGAAGAACAAGCCAACAAAAAATATTAGTCATTCTACCATTTCTGAGAACTGAACTGCACTACAATGAAAAGTGAAAACACATGATTTCAGCATCCTTATAACTAATTCACTGTATGCAGTTTTACAAACCCATGGAATTGCTTATTGTATTGGTATTATTATTATTATTTGCGTAACAAATATGTTCTATAATATATATATATATTTTTCATATGTAATATACATGTATGAATTTTTATGTTTATAATTTACTTAAGAATAAAATTTAATCTTTTAAATTAATATTTTTTTTCTGTTATTTTTCTTATCTTTTTGTTTGCATTAATTCTGAAACTTCACTTTTCTCATCTTAATCCATGGATTTACACTTTAGTCTTTTGATGATGTGTTGAAAAATTTACAATATGTGTTACGTAGGGGTGAAGTTTAAACAAATTTCTGAGGTCAAACTTGAATTACAATTTTTTGTAGGAGTGAAAATATAATTTTATTAATGTATTGATTTCTACCTTTATAATTTTTAATAGGACTAAATCTTAATTTTATCATTTTATGAGTCCAAAAAACAATTTTAACATGTTGGTCTATAACTTTTACAGTTTTTTTTCCTTCATATTTTTACCTTTTGGAATATTATCATAATGTCATATGGTTAAAGGTAAAAATTAACTTTAGAGATCAAGTTTTAAAAAAAGCTTAAAATTGATGAAAACAAAAAATTGTCCAAAATCCTAGTTAGAAGAAATTATTTATTAAATGTTGTTTTATTTTATTTGTTTAAATAGATTCTAACACCTCTTTTATTTGCATGATGTTTATATTTTTCCATGTTCTGATTATTTTTTAAAATTGTATTTGTTTTGTATTTGATAGCATCTTCCTGAAACGTAGACATAAAACTTATATAAAGCTTTCAAAAAAACAAAAAATATATTTAATAAAGTAAAAAAATATTATATAAAAACATTTAAAAAATATTCCTGAAATTATCCTATGCAAAATAATAATTAATAATTTAACTACCCTAGGCCTAATATGATTATATCATCCCCGTTCAATTTTCATCGGCTATAAACTTTTTCCAGACAGGGTGTTTCTTCCAGACGGTGTCGACCATGGCATCGATGGGCACATTTTTCGTCTCGGGCAACAAGAAAAACACAAATATTCCCATGACAAGTATCCAGCCACCGAAGAAGAAGAATATCAAGGCACGCATATGGCACAGCATCGACAAGAATGCTTGAGCTATGATGAAAGTGCAAAGCATGTTGGAGCTAACGGCGAACGCGAATCCAGCCGTCCTCGTCTCGAGAGGAAATGTTTCACTCGGTATCAGCCACCCAAGAGGACCCCATGACCAAGCAAAAGCCGAGACAAACATGCACACTAGAAACACAACCCAAATCGCTTCGGGTTTTGTCAGTGAATCCGTGGCGTGCAGGTCACGTAGAAGAATTCCACCAATTATAGCCTGCAGATATCATATAGAACTTGTGCTATCAGGACTGAACATGGTGGAGATTTGGACATTTATGTTAAAAATAATGGATGCATACCTGGCTTGCAAACATCTGAACACAGGCTTGAAGAAGTAGTTTCCTCCTACCAAACCTATCGACCGAAAAGATCGAGACAAAAGTACAGCAAACATTTACAAGTCCGGTAATCACGGAGGACAACAACGAAGCATCGTTCTTGAATCCGACAGTTTGGAACAAGACGGGAGCATAAAACATGATAGCATTGATCCCTGTAAACTGTTGGAAAACTTGAAGCATCACGCCAATAATCAGAGGGGGCATGCTGCTGGGGCTAATGAGTTTCTTGAAAGGTTGCTTCACTCCCCGGGCTATTTCACTGGCTTCCATAATCTGCTGGAACTCAACATCGACTTCCTTGACACCCCTAATCTTTTGCAGTGTTGTATGTCCCAACGACTCCTTTCCGCGCACCACCAGGCTCGCTGGTGTTTCAGTGATGATCAAAGAACCTATGAACAATATAGCAGCCGGTACGCCAGCAATCCCCAAAGACACTCTCCATCCATAAGGGTGAATTTTCGATGTCCAATAGTTGACAAGATTTGCAAATAATATCCCTACTGTTACAAATAGTTGGAAGAGAATGTTGACAGCTCCACGATGCTGGACTGGGGCTATCTCCGACAGGAACAATGGAACAGCCTGCACAATGAGTTGTATCAGTAACTACAGCAATTAAAGATACAATTCAATAACATAAATATGTATGATTCGAATCCAATCTAACCTCATTTCCAAAGCCAACGCCTATACCAAGAAGCACACGCCCAATAATGAGCATCCAAAGGTGCTGAGCACTAGCACTTAAGGCAGCTCCGGCAAGGAAAAATACAGAAGCCGCTAGAATCGTGGGCTTTCGGCCAAATTTGGTGCAAACCTTTGAAGCAGCAAAGCTTGAAACAAGAGCAGCTAGGTAGAGTGAAGATGTAAAAAGCTGAAGATATTGATCATCATATTTGCAGTAATTGTCCTCCTTTGCATGCATCTTTCTTTCATGGACTTTGGGAAAGAATTTAATTAAAAAATCGTCCATGGCTGTCACTCCACCTGCATTTTTATACAGGAAGACAAATACTTATAACGCTTCTCTATTAATCTGAGTAAGGATATTCAACTTTAAAACCCTTTGTGATATTAAATATAAGAAAAGAAAACACAAAATTAACATTCAACTTCTTTTTGATGTTCATTATATGAGATCCAATCATGAACATCACATAGAAAACAAAGATTCATGCTTAGATCTACAACAATAACTGGATAAAGATTCAAAGTTGGTCATAATATTTTCTTTATGTAAAACCAAGTAAAAATAAAATTAAAAATTGGATATATATGATGAAAGAAACAGGTTGACCTGAAATTCCGATGTCGTAGCCAAACATAAGGCCACCAAAAGCAGCAAGAATCCAACATAATATGACATAAACAGTGAACTTTGATGGGTACGTCGGATTTCCACTCATCTTTTTACTCTCCTCTAAGAGTTTTCCCCCCCAGCAATTGAAGACGACTTGTTTGGTTTTTCTTTTACTAGAAAATTTTGTTTGATTTTGGATTATTTATAACCTACCAATTAATGAACAATTTAAGAAAAAAGATCCCTTCGATTACGATAAGGATCAATTTTATTCCTCCTCAATTTCTAATTCCTTATATATTTTTTCTTACCATATTTAATAGTAATGATAATTATATAAATTTAAAATATATTAATCGCTATAACGAAAAACTTTAACTTTATTTTTAAAATAAATTAATGAGTTGAAGAGCACTGATATTAGTGACCTATTTTAACTAAAATTTAAATAGTTAAAATTTAGTTCTGACTGAAGATCTTTTCAATCAATAATAAAACTATTTTGATATAATATCTATGGCAATTGACACAAGTTGTAAATGATAATAAGTATATATAATTATACTTAAATTCAATTAAGAAGTCATATAAACGCACTTTTATTCTGATTTTTAAAATTTCATAATTGTTTCCATTGTAGCCGACCGGGTAGATAACTTTTTAGTGTTGCCATATGCAATTTCTTCAATTATGCATGCATTAGGAGGAAAGTGTATGTTCATTCTTGTTATTGAGATTCGGTACAATGATATATAATACTTTAAATTGGTAAAATAGTTGGCAAAATCGATTTCCATATATACCTTTATCCATACTTATCCCTAAAATTATCCCAATGCCATGGTTTAGTTGGCTTTCAATAGGGATGGCAATATGACCTGAACCCGACGGGGAAACCCGATCAAATTCGGGTCGGGTCGGGTTGAATGATATCGGGTCGGGGTCGGGTTCGGGGATTTGTTCGAGTCGGGTTCGTGGCAAGGTATCCCCGACCCGCCCCGATTATATATATATAATATTTTATATATTTTATATTAATTATATATATAATATTTTATATTTTTTATGTTAATTATATATAAAATATTTTCGGGTTCGGGTATAATATTTCGGGTCGGGTTCGGGGACGGGGATTCATTTCGGGTTTGGGGACGGGGCAAGCAAAACCCGCCCCAAACCCGACCCGTTGCCATTCCTAGCTTTCAAATTTAAGGGCTTGTCTTATTTCAAATTAATTATAAAAGAGAGAAAAATTAAAGTAACGAGTAAACTGAAAAATAGATGCATATAAGAGTGAGTATTCGATCGAATCGAATTTACAATTACTATTTTATTATTCAAATTTTATTTGAAATATTGTTAGTCGAATCAAATCAATTAAGTTTTTATTTAATTTAAATATAATTATTTATGATATTATGGTATTAATTGATTCTAGTTTAAAAGATTGTCATTATCTATATATGATATACATGTATATTACTCCATTTTCTTTTTCATATGTATAAGAAATTTTACAATATTATTTTAAAAATCAATTATCATCTAAAATTATATAATACATTTACACTGTCATTTTTTAAAAGAAAGGCTTTGAAGGACAAAGGATTGATGGGTGTATAAAACACTCAAAAAAAATAATGAGAAGAAATATTTTGTATAGAATTATAGTCATAATAAAATATAAAGTTCAGGGACTAAAAAAAGAAGAAGAGAATTTGTTGTAAAAAAATAAACTGAAGTTGCACGTAGATGAGAATATAATTCAAACTTAATCAAAATGAACTTCTAACAGAGGATGAAATAAAGAAAAAAATGAAACTAAATAAATTTAAAGCAACTAAATTGAAAAAAAGAGAAATTTGTTGTCAATAAAAGAATGTTTGGTTCAAGGATTGTGGGATTCCCATGTTTGGTTGGCCGAGAATCTCATTTTCGGTAATATTTTATTATCAATAATAGATTTTTTGAGGTATATTACCGGGAATGTCATTACCTCCCTTCCTTTAGGTATTGTAACATTACCGGCGTTTTGGACTAAAATGCCTTTAAATTTTTATTTTTTTTTCCCCAAAAATATCATTCTTCTGTCATTGAATAATAAAAATCATACGAAAGCTAAATTACAAATTTATCCTTAAATTATTTTAGATTTACAAAAAAAATCTATAATTAAAATTTTATATAAAATTCAGGGGTTAAATTTTTTTTACCCTTTCATTAAATCTTTTTTATATTTTTAATTTTGTAGAAAAAATTATATAAATATTATGAATTTAATTTTTTAAAGAAAATATATAAATATTTTACAATTTGTAATATTATACAAATATAATAAAGACAATTTGATCAAATATACATTTCAATAATCTTTTATTCCTTTAACCAAACACGGTAATCTTACATTCCTGCTAAACCAACCAAACACAAAATACAACATTCCCAGTAATCCTATTCCCTGATAATCTTTTATTCCCACTGATAATCTTACATTCCGTGAACCAAACGCACCCTAAGGGTAACTGAAACTCCATATGTATTCTACTATGACTAAGAAACATACTATTGAAGAAATAAGAAAATTATGAACAAACTCGCAAAACAAACAAATTACTTGGTTAAATATCGAAATGATATCATTTTAATTTTTAATTTTTTTATTATTCAAATTTTGACACAAACAAAAGAAAAAAATTGAGATTAAAAATAGGATTGTTAATCCTTTTGCCTTATATTGGTTCGAGTAGTCATGGGAGTATAGTTTCAAATAAATAAATGTTATAAGTTTAGTTACAAGAAGATATGCGTGCCATAGGGTGACGCCAAAGTTGTAGGCATTCGACCAAATCCCAAAAGCAGCCTGCACTGATAGATAGTTAAAATCAGTGTAACAAATGGGATTAAAAATTAACTTATGCGGCAACAGGGATGAACCATAAATGACTAAAGAAAGAGGCAAGCAAAAATGTAGCCACTACCGAAAGAAGCCTTAAACGTAGAAAGTACGGCATGAATCAATATCACTGAATTGAATCACAATCACATGCATAATGCTTTATGACTCATACAACACAAATGTAACATGAACAAATAAATTTTATCCATCATATGAAGTATACAATATTATGAACTACAATCGGGGATGGACTGAGGGCATGTTGGGGGCAATCTCAATCCCTGAAAATTTCAAATTTTCATATAATTTAAGTGTTTCCTATTGATCTAATTCCGCACCCCTGAAATTTTGTAATTTCACACTCCTAAATTTCTAATGAACTTATTGAAAGTTCGACATCTAACATAAAATCATGAATTTGTTCCTCACTACACTGAACTGCATGCTCAACTGTACTAGCTAGGAAGTACGAAATCACCAAGAAAGACTCTAATAAGGGGGATTGTCTCAGGAAAGGCGGGTTAATATACGGCTAATATATAGCATTACCGGATACATTAAAATGTATTTAATAAATTCGGTTTAGCGGTACCTATTATGTTGACAACTAATAATGTTTTAGGTAGAAAATATGAAAAACTATTAAAAAATTTGGTAACCGGTAAACTTTGGTTATCGGTAAGTATCTATCCTTTTTATAAAAGTGTCCATACGTTTAACATATCAAGTAAATTTTATCGGTTTTGTCATAATGAATCTGATTTTGTCATATTTTTACCTGTTATATTGTAAATTATCTATCCTTTTTATAAAAGTGTCCATACTTATTTCACTGTGAAAATATATTTATTATTATCTTTAGTTAATATTGTTAAATTTAAAATCTAAATAATATTTTATAAAATATCAAAACAATCAAATAATTTTTTGTGTAAATGAAATTATTAAATTAATATTGTAGGTGGAAAACATGAAACACTATTAAAAAAATTGAAACATAAATTACATAACTTTCAAAAAAGTATATATCATTTTTATAAAAGTGTCCATACTTATTTCACTGTTGAAAACATATTTATTATTATATTTGGTTAATATTGTTAAATTTAAATTCTAAATAATATTTTAAAATATCAAAACAATCAAATATAATTTTGTGTAAATTAAATTATTAAATTAATATTGTAGGTGGAAAACATGAAACACTATTAAATAAATTGAAACATAAATTACATAACTTTAAAAGCAGTTTTAAATCCTAAAAGTGTCGATACTTTTAAAAAATATATCGATCCAAAACGATATACCAGGTAAAAATATGATAAAACCGGTAACAAAATGATAAAACCGGTAAATTTAAAAGTGTCGATACGTTATATAAGGATCGACACTTTGTGAATTTAAAAGAGAAGCAGTTATAGCGCCTATAATGTGTCGATACTTTAAAAAATATATCGATCCACAACGATATAACAGGTAAAATTATGATAAAACCGGTAACAAAATGATAAAACCGGTAAAATGATACCAGATATATTGAAAGTGTCGACACTTTCGTAAGTACGTGTAATAAATTATCGACACTTTCAAAGAAATAGGTAATTATCCTTTCGAAAGTATCGACACCTGACATAAAAGTATCGACACTTTTGTATTTGTATCGATTAAATATAAATAACATATCCGATGAAAATATAAAGGCCATAGCTAAATATCCTCTGAAAAAAGATAGAACGGACGAGTTTTTGAAATCGAAGAGTAATTGTTGCTGCATTTCAGAAGGCGTTTCTAAAGCGAAGTTTGTTTGTTTGTTGCTGCAGTCGAATCGAAAAGTATGTTGTCGAAACCCTAATTTTTTATTATTACAGTAATCGCGATAGGGTTTTTTATGTGTTGTTTGGGGTTTTGGAGTAAGGAAGCATTTGGGACCGATTGCAGGTAGAAATAGATATTCAAGGAAAAATATAAATGTCGATACTTTTATTAAATATTATAGGTAGAAAATGATATTATAGGTTGTATAAATGTGCCGACACATTTTGGTGTGGCCATTCAAATTCTTTTGAAGAAAACCGTTTTACCACAAGAGTAGTTATCTATATTTGTATATTGAAAAGTGTATGTAACAAAATAATTTGATTTGCGTAAACTGATATATGAAGGAAAAATGGAGTCAATGGGTTGGAAAATTGTTGGTGGAGCAGATGACT